TTCAGTTTGTCAAAATGGTGCTGGAAAAGGTTATTCCTTTGCCTTCTGGCTAAACTACAATGAATCGTTTAAGGATGGCTTGCTTGTAAACTTGGAATCTTTATGCCATGATATCTAGCTCTCCTGCCCTCTTTGGTTGCCTTACTCTTTCTAAACTGATTTGTTCATGTGTACCTCTTAAAATGCATTGTCAGAAGCAAATGTATTTAGATAGGGTCTGGCAGAGCGAAGCAGAGATGTGGAGGAAGGGCATGAGAAGGAACATGAACACCAGTGGAGACACTATACCAGTATGCCAGTTACTTGTGAAGTACTGGCTGATTTCAAGTTAAGATTCAATAGTTTACTGAGGATCATGCAACTAGTAAGTGAATTTGAAGTAAGCTGGAATTTAAAGAGTCTTCCTAATTCTAACCCTTTGTGCTTTTTATTACTGCTCAACAATCTGCTGCTACTAATACAGCCAGATTGTATTCACTGTTACGGTGGCTGCATTCATTGTTGGCTTTTGAAACTTGTGATCAAGTGAAGTCCCTAGATCTAATCATAATCAGTTAGCCAAGGCAGGTCATCTGGAAGGCAGCTTAATATAGTGTTAAAATTTAGGCTGGGCGCAGTGGCTCATGCCTGTTATCCTAGCTCTCTGGGAGGCCGAGGCGGGCGGATTGTTTGAGCTCAGGAGTTCGAAACCAGCCTGAGCAAGAGCAAGAGCAAGACCCCGTCTCTACTAAAATTAGAAAGAAATTAATTGGACAACTAAAAATATATAGAAAAAATCAGCCGGGCATGGTGGCGCATACCTGGAGTCCCAGCTACTCAGAAGGCTGAGGCAGAAGGATCCCCTGAGCCCAGGAGTTTGAGGTTGCTGTGAGCTAGGATGACGCCACGGCACTCTAGCCCAGGCAACACAGTGAGACTGTGTCTCAAAAAAAAAAAAAATTTAAACCTGATTTTGACATTTCCCTGTTTTAGATCCTTCCGTGGTTTCTTATTGCTTTAAGATACAAAGTCCTGAAGAATCTGTTCTCTAACTGTCCAGCCTCATCTTCCCCCAACTTTATGCTTGTTCTCTTCACACTCTCTGCTAGCCGCCTTTCAGTTCCTTGTAGTGATTGTACCTCTCTCCTACTATTGGGCCTTTGTATATGCTGACTGTCTGCCTAGAATGTTCTTTTCCTTTTTATTGTAGGTTAACAGGGGCTTATTCAACCACCCACTTTTAGGGCAAACATGACTTTGTTGGTGAAGACTTCCTTAAGCTACCTGGTCAAGTCATCTCTTCCTTTTCATGGCAAAATTTAACTTTTCTTAGCAATTGTATATTTTTACACCTATTAGTAGGATTATTTGACTTGCTGTCTTGTCTCTTCCACTAAATATTCAAGTTCTGTGAAAGGAGGAACCATGCCTGGTTTACTCAACCATCAAATCCCTACCTACCTACTGCACCGGGTAGACAGATAGTAGGAGCTCCTTTTGCTGAATACTGATTAGGGTGCCTTTGGGTTACAAACTTGATTCATTCACGTCTTTTGGAATTTGACCCTATTTGATTAGTTTAATCTCCATTTTCCTTCCTTGTAAAATTTGAAGTGCAGACCTTGTTTAGTGCTGCTTTGTATGGCATTGATTCATTATAATCCTAAGTTCCCCCCAAATATTTTTATATAAAAATACGTAAAAAGTAGAGTACTATCCTATGGTCTCAGCCAATGAGAACTAACTTGGTCATATGCTGTATTATGCTCTTTGCTAAAAAGTGCTAGTAGGCTGTCCACACTGTCCTAGGCCAGCCAATCTATTTGTTGACTCAATTTCACCCTGTCCTTTTAGATTCTAGAGAACAATTCTCACTGATCATGGATGTCACAAAGTAATAGTGGTGTAGGTGTTATAAAAGTGCTAAGAAAGAGTGACATGTTGAATTTTAAAAGTGCAGGTATTGGAGGTTGAGCACCTTGAAGTAGCTAGTTGAGGAAACAAGATCAGCAGCTGTCATGTAGTGATAGTGGAAGGGGTACTTTCACATAATTAATACTGCCATAAACCGAGTGCACAGTGGACTGAATGACAGCACGCAAAATACCATTTAAGAAAGCCTTAAAGTCCTCGTATTGTGCCAGAGATTTAGGAGCTCCTTCCCAGCTTGAGATCTCTAGGGAGATAATTTTATCAAGCCTTAAAACTCTATGAGTGGCTGGACGTGGTGGCTCATACCTGTAATCCTAGAACTCTGGGAGGATCCCTTGAGATAGTGAGTTCCAGACCAACCTGAGCAAGAAAGAGTGAAACCCTGTCTCTATGAAAAATAGGAAAAAAAAAAATTAGCTAGGAGCCAGGCATGGTAGCTCATGCCTATAGTCCTAGCTTCTTGGGAGGCTGAGGCAGGAGAATCACTTGAGCCCAGGAGTTTGAGGTTACAGTGAGCTATGATGACACTTGGGTTACAGAGCAAGTCTCAAAAATAAACAAACTAAACTGTATCAGTATCTCTATCTCTGACTTTAAATTGAACTCAAAGAAATATTGAAGGTATAAACACCTTTGTCTTGTGTATGTGGAATGTTGAGAGAGTAAAGAGTGTTTCACTGATGATACATCAGCAAACAACTGTATTCAAACAGTAACACTGCTTCAAATGAATAACCTAGTATCAACTTTTATACTTTGAAGATACTTTTATGAATACTTTGAAGCATGTTTTATCATAGTGGTGATTACAATGTATCATTGACTTAGTTGTATTTTTTTTTAAATCTTCTGTTCATTTATTTATGTAGCCAGAAATTATCTATTGATACAATTTTAGCAGACTTATTTTTCAAAGCCAAATTGTGTCTAAAAAAAGATTCTTTTCATAAGCAATAGAAAAATTGGGGTTATGTAGAGCTCAACCATCTTCAAAGCTTACAGAAAGTATTAATAGCACTGCAGTTGAACAAAAGTTCAAAACTGAGATGCATAAAGTTAAACCTAATAACAGTTGAAATGAGGCTAATTATACCTATAATTTGACTTCCTACTATGTTACGTTTTGTTATGGACTGCAACCCTTGGGCATTTAGGATCTTGATAATTGTAACTGTTCCTACTAAGATGTTAACATTTTTTTCTTTTCATGTTATCTACTGTCACATAGAAGGTTCATTTGCAGGTAATCTCTGAATAGAACCTCTCACATTTCAATTTAGGGGACAGCCTTCTTCAAGGCTTCTTGTAAATCTATTTTCTATGTATCATTCAATTCAGAGAGCAAAGTGGAATATACTTAATTATTCTGCACACCATCTCCAGATAACTGTGCTCTTGGACATTCTGCTACAACTACAACTGTGGTCCCCAACCTCTGTGGCCTGTTAGGGACTGGACCGCAGAGCTCCGCCGTGCACGCCCCTGCAACCCCCTGGTCTGTGGAAAAATTGTCTTCCATGAAACCGGTCCCTGGTGCCAAAAAGATTGGGGACCACTGCTCTATAAGACCAACCACATTTACATCCAGGACATACTTTTTCCTTAGTCTATACCAGTTTTATGTAAATAGATGTTCTGGGAATTGTAGTCTGTCAAAACTAAAACTTCCTAACCCTCTTTAAAAGAAAGAGACCAATAAAGGACCAAAGAATTAAAAAAATCCTGACAGAAGTCTGTGATGGGAGAGCAGGAGAAGGGTTCTACTTACTTTACAGGATCAAGGTTGTCTACCAAAAAATAAGACTCCTCATTTTCTTCCCTTCCCTCCCCTCCCCTCCCCTCTTTTTTTCCTTTTTTTGAGACAGAGTCTCGCTTTGTTGCCTGGGCTACAGTGAGTGCCCTTGCATCAGCCTTGCTGACAGCAACCTCAAACTCCTGGGCTCAGGTGATTCTCCTGCCTCAGCCTCCCAAGTAGCTGGGACTACAGGTGCGAGCCACCATAACCAGCTAATTTTTTTGTTTCTATTTTTAGTTGACTGGCTAATTTTTTTATTTTTATTTAATTTTTAGTAGAGACGGGGTCTCGCTCTTGCTCAGGCTGGTCTCGAACTCCTGACCTCAAATGATCCTCCCACCTCAGCCTCCCAGAGTGCTAGGATTACAGGCGTGAGCCACCACGCCTGGCCTCATCATTTTCTTAATCCACACCTTTACTTGGAGAAACAGATTGCTTGGGTCCACCTCCAATTTCAAATTTAGTAGGTCTGAGGTGGGGTCTCAAAATTTTCATTTCTAGTAGATTCTCAGGTGATGGTGCTGGTCCAGGTCAACTTACAAAGTTGACCTGAGTTGGGCCCAGCGTGGTGGCTCATGCCTGTAATCTTAGCACTCTGGGAGGCTGAGGCAGGAGGATGGCTTGAGGTTAGGAGTTTTAGGTTGTTGTGAGCTAGGCTGATGCCACGGGACACTAGACACACTAGCCCCAGGCAAAAGACTGAGACTCTGTCTCAAAAAAAAAAAAAAGGAAAAGAGACGCTGCCGAACTGTATTCCCATACCTGGCTTTTGGAAACAACACATGTATTCCTTTAAGGCAGCTGGCAGAGGTCTGTTTCTTTGTCTTCACTTTTGTAGCCAATTTTGTGTTTTCATGTTGCTTTGAAAGAATTAAAATGAATTCTTGAGGAAGTGAAATATATACAGTACTCTAACCCTTTCCAGTCTATGTTGCTTCTTGCTTCTTTATCTTTGATTGTTGTTTTTACAGATAGAGTTGCTATTATGGCCAAAGTTAGTGGAAAATAAGAAGCTGCCTCTGGGAGTGTAAACTGAGGCCAGTGATCAAACTTAACTGAACAACAAGATGAATGCTTAAAATCTGAGATTGGTACCTGGGTCTATGGGCAGCCTTCCTGTAGTACCCACATGAATCATTTTATGGTCATCCGGTCTAGTTCCACTTTCTTTGTGTTATTTTGTGTGTTTGTATGTTTATTGGGAGAATATATTAGTCATGAATTCTTTGAGGACTGGCTTTGATCTTTTTTTTTTTTTTTTTTTAATCTAGTGTTGTGGTCCTTTGTCTCACAGGTATTTTATGCATGGGGTTTGTAAAGAAGGAGATAACTGTCGATACTCGCATGACCTCTCTGACAGTCCATATGGTGTAGCGTGCAAGTATTTTCAGCGAGGGTACTGTGTTTATGGAGACCGTTGCAGGTAAGAATTTGTTTATGAATTCATTTTGTTCAGGGGATAGGTTGGGAGAGTTTGGGAGAAGAAAATGAGAGCAAAATACATAATTCTAATAGCTTTATACGTAACAGATTAGAAATACTTAATGCTTTGAAAAGTACTCCTGCTTTGTAATCCCAGCCCTTTGAGAGGCCAAGGCAGGACGATTGAGGCCAGGAGTTTAAGACCAGCCTGGTCAACATAATGAGACCCCATCTCTATAAGAAAAAAAAGTACTCCTTAGGAATATTAGTACATTGACAGAAATGTCTTTGCTTGGAGAGATTTATGTAATGACTAAATTGAATTGATGCCTGAGGAGCAATTTCTGCAAACCTAGGAGTAGAGTATGGTGAAGATATGTTTATATATTTTATATGTAGCATTTCTTTTTCAAAACCAAGAATGAAGTACATATTTGACCAAATTGGACCGGTTTCAGTCGTTCTCTACGAATATGAATTACAGAGAAAGGGATCTTAGGCATTTGGAATGGTGCATTAGGTTGCTAGAGGGCTTGTCATTCTGTCTTCATGCCCCGAGCTCACTAAACTAATAAGGCCCAAGGGCAACCAAGACTAGGAAAAATGCTTCAAGAATGCTTCTAGTGTCTATCTCAGAATGTTAGAGAACCAACAAGGATTAGCTATTAAGTAAGCTCTAGCATTATTCATTGAATTGGTACCATAATCCTGTTAAATTGCAATTCAGCAGTAGTGGGTTTAGGTAGTGTTTAAAAACTGGGTAGAGCCTTTTATTTTCCCAGTTCAGAAAATGTTTATTGATTATCTATGGATGTTAAACAAGTTACCCCCAAATTTAGCAATTTAAAACAGTGAATAGGCTGAGCACAGTTGCCTACACCTATAATCTCAGCACTTTGGGAGGCTGAGGTAGGAGGATTGCTTGAGCCTAGGAGTTTGAGGTTACAGTGAGCTATGATTGCACTACTGCACTTCAGCCTGGGCAGCAGTGAGACCCTGTCTCTAAAAACCAAACCAAAACAAAAAGACCCAAGGAACATTTATTATCACACAGTCTCTGGGGGGTCTAGAATCTGTGAATGGCTTAGCTATGTGGTTCTAGCTCAGAGACTCATGAGATGTCTGTTAGGATTTCAGCCAGGGTGGCAGTCATCTGAAGACTTGATGGGGGCTGGAGGATTGCTTTTAAGAGGGTTCATCCTTTCCCCCCTTTCACTACTGCACTTGACCAGTCTTGAAAAAAAAAAAAAAGAGGGCTCACTCACTTGGCTGTGGCAGACCTTAGTCTCACCATGTGGCCTTTCCATAGGGCTGCTTGAGTGTTCTTATAGCTGGGCACCTAGGTTTCCCCACAGCAAGGGAATCCAGAGAGGAGGCAGGGAGTAGCCACACAATGCCTTTTATGACCTAGTCTCAGTCGTCACATACTGTCACTTCACTAGTACTGGACTAAGCCACTAAGTTGAGACCACATTCACTAGTAGAGGAATTAGGTTCTACCTTTTGTTTTTGTTTTTGTTTTTGTTTTGAGACAGAGTCTCACTTTGTTGCCCGTGCTAGAGTGCTGTGGCGTCATCCTAGCTCACAGCAACCTCAAACTCCTGGGCTCAAGTGATCCTACTGCCTCAGCCTCCCGAGTAGCTGGGACTACAGGCATGTATTTTTTTAGTTGTCCAATTAATTTCTTTCTATTTTTAGTAGAGACGGGGTCTCATTCTTGCTCAGGCTGGTTTCGAACTCCTGAGCTCAAACAATCCGCCCGCCTCAGCCTCCCAGAGAGCTAGGATTACAGGTGTGAGCCACTGCGCCCGGCCAGGGTTCCACCTTTTGAAGGGAGGCTTGTCAAAGGGCTTTAGACATGTTTTAAACCACTGTCCTAGGTAAGACTTCTTGGCAGTGTCATAGCCAATTATACTGTTGTTATCAGGAAAAAAACTGTGTCAGCTATTAGGTTTAAATGCTTAGAGTTCAAAAGAATAGGAAATTATTGATGGATGGGTGGTATATTAATGTTACATGTATTTATTAGGAAATCCAGTCAGGATGGAGAGGGGAAAAGATCTTTTTCATGTGACTAGGAGCATAGAGGTGGATCCCTGATATCTGAGTTTAGTAGTCAGATCATTTTGTTCTCTGCCAATTTTTTCTTCTTCTTCTTTTTTTTTTTTTTTTTTGAAACAGTCTCAACTCTCTTGCTGAGGCTAGAGTGCCATGGCGTCAGCCTAGCTCACAACCACCTCAAACTCCTGGGCTCAAGCGATCCTCCTGCCTCAGCCTCCCAGGTAGCTGGGACTTACAGGCACACGCCACCATGGCTGGCTAATTTTTTCTGTTTTTAGTTGTTTGGCTAATTTCTTTCTACTTTTGGTAGAGTCGGGGTCTCGCTCTTGCCCAGGCTGGTCTCGAACTCCTGAGCTCAAGCAGTCCTCCCGCCTCGGCCTCCCAGAGTGCTAGGATTACAGAGTGTGAGCCACTGAGCCTGGCCCATCTGGTGTTTTTGAGGAGACTGTTATTTATTTATTTTTTTAAGAAATACTGCAATGAAAAAATTGGCAGAGGCCAGGCGTAGTGGCTCATGCCTGTAATCCTAGCACTCTGGGAGGCCGAGGCGGGAGGACTGCTTGAGCTCAGGAGTTCGAGACCAGCCTGGGCAAGAGCGAGACCCCGACTCTACCAAAAATAGAAAAATTAGCCAGACATCCTGGCTTACACTTGTATTATAGTCCCAGCTACTCCAGAGGCTGAGGCAGGAGGATCGCATGAGCCCAGAAGTTGGAGGCTGCAGTGAGCTATGATGACACCACTGCACACTACCCAGGGCAACAGACTGAGACTCCGTCTCAAAAAAAAGAAAGAAAGAAAGAAAGAAAAACACACCAGGCCTGTCTTCCTTGCAGTCACAATATTAAAGGGGGGGAAAGTTGTCAGAACTTCACCTTATAATGAATGAACAATCCTTTGTAGTCAGTCTGCAGGTCTTCTAGACTAGGCTAATTGTAGGGGAGCTGGGTTCCAGTCATTTGAGAGTTATTGCCAACTACGATGGAGAGGAATCGAATATTAAGAGCAGAGGATCTAAGGTGTCCAGCAGAGAGATGTGAACATAGGTTGCGAGGCAGATGGGGAAAAGGAATGGTTAACTAACAGATGGGCCTCTTATTTCAGAAGAGGTACTCATCTGATTGGACTGTATATGTAGAGTGAGTGGAAAACTGAACGGTAAATTAAAGAAGTCTGTGTACTAAGGCCTAGGCTCTACATGTTAATCAGCTTATTTTTTGGTTTGGTTTTGACAGCCTCAAATGGCTTAAGACCAGGGAATGAGGCAGACACCTATTTTGTTTTGTGAGGCTTTCATGTTTAGGCAGATGTGAGTTGCCTAATAAAGGAACTTTAGTTTTCTTTAAAGAGTATAGCTCTCTATTTTCTAAAACTCTTGGGGAATGATTCTGATTTGAACTGAGGTTAGAACTCTTAGGACTAACTGAAAGGAATTCAGGAAACCTATAATAGTCTGCCTGACAGTTTCGTGTTAATTGTTTAGGACAGGCTGTTACAGGTGATTATTAAGCTTGATTATGGACTAGCGAAAGAATCTTAGGAAGGGGTGTGTGGGTTTTTTTTTTTTTTTTTTTTGAGACAGAGTCTTGCTCTGTTCCCCTGGCTAGAGTGCCCTGGCATCAGCTTAGCTCACAGCAACCTCAAACTCCTGGGCTCAAGGGATCCTCCTGCCTCAGCCTTCTACTGTGACTACAGGCAGTAGCTGGGACTACAGGTGTTCGCCACCATGTCTGGCTAATTTTTTTTTTTCTATTTTTAGTTGCCCTGCTAATTTCTTCTATTTTTTGTAGAGTTGGGGTCTCACTGTGTTGCCCAGGCGGGTGTCAAACTCCTAACCTCAAGCAATCCTCCCACCTCAGCCTCTCAGAGTGCTAGGATTACAGGCATGAGCCACCGCACCTGACCTTTTTGTTAAATTTATACCTAGGGACTTGAACCTATTTCTCATTCTTACTATATAAGGATCCATTTATATAAGTTGCCCAGTGCCTAGGGATTTCAAATAATGTAACTCCTCGTAGAGGGAATAGGTAGCCTCTCCACTCTGACCTATTTTGTTTGTTTTGGTAGAGACAGGGCGCGGTTCTATTTTTGTTTGTTTTTTGAGACAGAGTCTGGCTCTGTTGCCTGGGCTAGAGTGCCGAGGCATCAGCCTAGCTAGCTCACAGCAACCTCAAACTCCTGGGCTCAAGCGATCATCCTGCCTTAGCCTCCCGGCTGGCTGGAAATACAGGCGCTAGCCACCATGCCTGGCTAATTTTTTTTTTAATTTTCATTTCTATTTTTAGTTGACTTGCTAATTTTTTCTATTTTTAGTAGAGACAGGGTCTAACTCTTAGCTCAGGCTGGTCTCGAATTCCTGAGCTCAAGCAATCCTCCCGCCTCAGCCTCCCAGAGTGCTAGGATTACAGGTGTGAGCCACCATGCCTGGCCCATGGTTCTTTGTTCAGGACTTTTTGCATATTACAGGACATCTGGCATCCTTTGCCCTGCCTCCTAAATGCCATTAGAACTCCTTTTTCTGGACACACCTTGGGGAAAGGGGCAATATTGCCTTGGTTGACTTGTTTGGAGGAGTTTTGCCCCATGGAAGGCAAATCTCATACTGAAGAATTCTGTAAATTAGAATCTGTAAAGGCAGGTGTTAGGGCATGGAAGCAGTGGGGGCGGGGAGTTGTAAGCCAGCCAGAGGGAGAAGAAAAATTGATTATATTTCTTCAGATAGAAGTTTGTACTATATCAAAGTATTTGCAGGGTGTGAAAGAAAGGCTTACTATTTCTTTAAATGTTGCCTCAGCATTAGTTATCACTTAACACTTTTACTAAAAGGATCAGTAATGCTATGACAATACATTGAAAAATTAATTTAGTAACTATAACAAAGTCACTGTTATGGACAATGACTCCAACAGATGTGACAATAGAATCCTAGTAAGCAGGGGTGGCAAATTTTTCATACAGGGCCAGGGAAATATTTTTGGTGATTCATGCTATGTGATCTCTTGTGTGGAAAAGCACCCATAGACAGTACATAAGCTAATGGATGTGGCTGCATTCCAATTGAAACTTTATTCTGGGATACTGAAATTAGAATTTCATGTAATTTTGTGTGTCATAAAATGATCTCTTTCTCCCCCAACCATTTTAAAATTAAAATGTCAAAACCATTCTTAGCTTTAGTTGGATTTGGCCCGAGGGTCATAGTCTGCCAATCCCTGCCCTTAAGGAGGTCCGTGTGTCAGTGAACTGTATTTTTCTAGTAAATGCCTTTCAAAATGGGAGTCCTGGTTTTTCTTTTTCTTTCTTGCTTTATTAATTTTTTCTTTGTACTTTATCCTTACTAGCGCTTACTCACAAATCTTCACTTCAGAAGCGTATTTTATATAGCTTTAGTCTGCATTAAGGAAATAACCTTACCTCAATAGACAGATTTGAGAACATGTTTTTCAGTGTCTTTCTCTAAATTTAAGTTCTGTATTTACTTCTCAATATAATCTCTTAGAATAAAGTTATTTGTTTTTATTTGATATATGTTCCTCTTCTAGAGGGCCTTTTAATTATGAAAGTTAGTTTTATCACATTTGCTAGTGGGGATCTTGTTTTATTGATATTGACCTCTCATTAGATGGTGCAGTTCTTTTCTTTTCTTTTTTTTTTTTTTTTTTTGAGACAGAGTCTCACTCTTTTTGCCCGGAATAGAGCGAGTGCCGTGGCGTCAGCCTAGCTCACAGCAACCTCAAACTCCTGGGCTCAAGCAATCCTAGTGCCTCAGCCTCCCGAGTAGCTGGGACTACAGGCATGCGCCACCATGCTCGGCTAATTTTTTGTATATATTTTTAGTTGGCCGATTAATTTCTTTCTAATTTTAGTAGAGGCGAGGTCTTGCTCTTGCTCAGGCTGGTTTCGAACTCCTGAGCTCAAACAATCCGCCTGCCTCGGCCTCCCAGAGAGCTAGGATTACAGGCGTGAGCCACCGCGCCCGGCCATGGTGCAGTTCTTAATGCAAGGTAGATGTTTATTATCAGGTGTTCAAAAAAAATTAACTGCTTGACTATAAAATGTTTATTTCAGTTTTTTAGTCTGTTCTTAGAAAAAAAAATCAGACTCTTTATGACTATAGACAACTGTAGAATATTTGAAAGCAAGAAAACTTTATTTATTTATAATTGTGGGCTTTCTAGCTAACTAATATACCTTATTGATTCCTTGATAAATTTACCCTGGAACCAAAATACACTTCTTTCAAAAACTTTGTAATATTTCCAATTTTTTTTAAGTCATTTACTGTGAAATCCTTTTTAGATTTTTTAAATTTTTTATTTATTTTTTAAGCCAGTCAAATTTAGCAGTGGGGGGTTGTAACCCTGAAATCCTTGAAGTGAATGTGCAAAGGAAGAAAAAAGGGTGTCATGTAAGTCTCTAAGACCTTTTATACATCATGTCATTTAATCTTCATTTAATTCTTTTAAAACTTTCCCAAAGCCTTAAAGACTTTGCATGCTGGTGGAGCTGGTGTTTTTAATTCAAACCTGTCTTAATTCCAAAACCCAAGTTCTTTTCTAATTTAAAGGCTGTGAAAGCAATTAACATTTTTTGAAATTCTCTTTCAAACTGGGGAGTTACTTAATCTGAAAAGTAAGGCTTTGGGGATCCTTATGGCTGGCTCTAAAAGAAACTTCAGAACTTGGTGCAATACTGGAAATGACCTTTATCTTGCTATCTAATATAGTAGCTACAAGCTACAGCGTAGCATTTGAACACTTGAAAATATGGCTAGAGCAAGGACTGAGAAACTGAGTTTTAAATATCAAGTATAAATAACTAGATGGGGCCAGAGGCTGCTGCATTGTACAGAGCAGCTTTAGAATCACATTCCACCTGTAACTGCCCCTTAGTTTCTCTAAAATGATGAGAGAATACTGAGAATACTTTCTCACTGTACTTGGATGAAGTCAGATGATGCAAGTGAAAGAGCGTAATCAAGATAGTTCCTTCTCAACCTCGAGCTTACCTGCTTCCACTTTACAGAACAGCACGCTCTGGGTTTGTAGCTGATAGCAGGATTCTCACATTACTTGTACTGCAAGGTAGGTTAACTAATACTTAAGCGTAGGAATATCAACACAGTTTGAGGTAACATGATTAAATAAAGACCAGCTCAGCAAATGTTTACCCTAAGCTAAAGGGGACAGCTTTTTAGTTAGATTTTGCTTCATTGTTAGATGTAAACATAGATACCTGTAACATACATAACCCATGATTAGTACTGCTTCATTGAAAGAACTGCTAGATACATACTATAAGTTATAGTACAGTTTGATTTACTACAGATATATAATTAATTTATTGTGTCTGAATAAAACTCTTAGTGTAGGCTGGGCACGGTGGCTCATATCTGTAATCCTAGCACTCTGGGAGGCTGAGGTGGGCGGATCGTTTGAGCTCAGGAGTTCGAGACCAGCCTGAGCAAGAGCGAGACCCCGTCTCTACTAAAACTAGAAAACAATTATCTGGACAACTAAAAAAATATATATAGAAAAAATTAGCTGGGCATGGTGGCACATGGCTGTAGTCCCAGCTACTCGGGAGGCTGAGGCAGTAGAATTGCTTGAGCCCAGGAGTTTGAGGTTGCTGTGAGCTAGGCTGATGCCATGGCACTCACTCTAGCCTGGACAACAGAGTGAGACTCTGTCTCAAAAAAAAAAAAAATAGTTTTATTGGAACATGGTCACACATTCATTTAAATAATGCCTATGGCTGCTTTTGCACTAAATTGCAGAGTTGAATAGTTGTGATTGACTGTATGACCTACAAAGCCTAAAATATTTATGTATTTGACCCTCTAAAGTTTGCTGAACCCTGGTCTGGCATCACATGGGGGCTTGTTAGACATGGAGAATCATGGGCTTCACTCCAGACTTACAAATTAGTTATCCGCCTGTTTAACAATTTCCCAGGTAATTCATATACACATTAAAGTTTGAAGAGGGGCCAAGAAAAGTATCAGGGAATATATGAAATTAGGCAGTGACTGCTTATTTTAAAATTTTCTTCAGATATGACCATAGCAAGCCATTGAAACAGGAAGAAGCAACTGCTGCAGACCTAACTGCAAAATCATCTCCTGCTGCTTCCCCAAGTCTCCCTGCAGCAGTCGGGCCACTTGCTGAAATGGATACAGGCGAAGCTGAGTCAAGAAATTCTAACATTGCAACTGTAGGAGCAGGTTCAGAGGACTGGGTGAATGCTATCGAGTTTGTTCCTGGACAGCCCTACTGTGGCCGTAGTAAGTATTCTGAAGAATAAAAGTTAGAGGGCTAGACAACAGTTCATCAATTAGCTGTTTCACAACCTCCCTGTTTCATTTTTAGCCTGATCTTAATATGGTACTTTAAATTGGATTACCTGAGATTTGCAGATGGAGTGAAAGAAACTTTTTCAATCCCGATAGTAATGAATTCAGAATGTTTTGAAAAACTGAAGCCTTTCTTCTTTAATCAGTACTTTTAAAAATTAAATTTCAGTCACCCAAGAAATACATAAAGAAGCTTTTTTGTTTTTTTTTTTAACAAGCCTAATCTTGGAAATATCAGCATTAGAAAAAATTCTATTTCTTGCAAGAGTGAAGAAATTAGTTCAATAGACTGTTCTGCAGTTTAATTGAAGTTCTTTTTATTTTTTTCTTTTCAGTTAGGTTCTCAGTTACCTTATAGTTCATATATTTGCCTTATCCATTTGGACCTTTACCACCCTCTTAAACATTTTCAGCTGCCCCTTCCTGCACTGACGCACCCCTGCAGGGCTCAGTGACCAAGGAAGAATCAGAGAAAGAGCAAACCGCTGTGGAAACAAAGAAGCAGCTTTGCCCCTATGCTGCAGTGGGAGAGTGCCGATATGGGGAGAACTGTGTGTATCTCCACGGAGATTCATGTGATATGTGTGGGCTGCAGGTCCTACATCCAATGGATGCTGCCCAGAGATCACAACATATAAAAGTAAGTCTTTAGGGAGATGTGTATGTTATTAGGTGTGAGAAACAAAATTTGTCCTTTCACAATATTGTTGGTTCATTTTAGAGAAACATTTGGTGAATTGAATGGTTATCAGAGAGCAGGGAAGATTTCTTACCTGGGCTTCTTGAATGCTTTATCAAGAAGTCATACTTCCAGAACTTTAGATTATGGGCTTTAAATTTTTTCCCCTCTTTTCCATCCTCTTTTTTTGGTTAAATAACATCTTTTCTGAGATTCACATTCTGTACAGGTTACTCTTTTAAAATGCACATTTTGTTGGTTTTTAGTGTAACAGAGTTGTGCAGCCATTACCACTATTAAATTGTAGGACATTTCATCATCCCCAGAAGATTATCGCATACCCGTTAGCAGTGACTCTTCATTTTACCCTTCCTCTAGCTCCTGGCTACAACTAATCTACTTTCAGTCTCTGTGGATTTGCTTATTCTGGATATTTCAGATAAAGGAGTCATAAACTATGTGGTTCTTTGTGACTGCCTTCTTTCACTGAGCATGTTTTCTAGGTTCTCCATGTTGCAGCATGTAGCAGTGCTTTATTCCTTTTTATGGCTGAATAATATTCTATTCCATGGCTAGACCACATGTGTTTTTCCATTCATGGGTTGCTGGACACTTAGGTCGTTTCCACTTTTTGGCTGTATGAATAATGCTGCTATGAACATTTGTGTCCAAGTTTTTATGGAAAGATAATGTTTTCAGTCCTCTTCTTAACATTTTGAGCAACTGCAAAATGTGTGGCTGCACCATTTTACATTTCCAGTTTGAAACCTGGGAGGTTTCAGACTATAGTTTTAAGCACACTTGCAGCATGAATTTTTTGTTGAAGATATTATGTTATAAACTTTTTATGTATTGGAGCAAATTTTGCTTCTAATCATCATTTCTATCGGTTTAATAAACATAATTTGGTTGTGGGAGGTGAAACATAGTGTAAGATAGACATAGTTTGAATCCTACCTTCACAGCATACTAGTGTGAACTTAGGCAAGTTAAATCCCTGTAAATCTTTCTATATATTGGGGATACCGGTGCCTACCTCTGAAGGAAAATTACTAAAACAAGTGATTATGGGTGACTTTCTTATTGATTTTCTACGTTTTCATATTTCTTTTTTTTTTTTTTTTTTTTTGAGACAGAGTCTCACTGTGTTGCCCGGACTCGAGTGCCGTGGCGTCATCCTAGCTCACAGCAACCTCAAACTCCTGGGCTCAAGCGATCCTTCTGCCTCAGCCTCCCGAGCAGCTGGGACTACAGGCATGCGCCACCATGCCCGGCTAATTTTTTCTATATATTTTTAGTTGTCCAATTAATTTCTCTCTATTTTTAGTAGAGACGGGGTCTCGCTCTTGCTCAGGCTGGTCTCGAACTCCTGAGCTCAAACAATCCACCCGCCTTGGCCTCCCAGAGTGCTAGGATTACAGGCGTGAGCCACCGCGCCCGGCCCCATTTTCGTATTTCTTATAATCATGTTTTTAGTAGGTTAAAAAAGTATATGATATCATGGATAACCTTGAAAACATGCTAAGTAAACAAACGTAGTCACAAAGGGCCACATACATGAAATATCCAGAATTGGCAAATCCACAGATTAGTGGTTGCCTAGCTTTGAGGTTTTTTGGGGGGAAATGAGAGACTGCTAATGGGTATGGGGTTTCTTTTTCGGGATAATGAAAATATTCTAATATTGTGGTAATCAGTATTGATTGTGGAACTGAAAATACTAAAAGTTATCTAATTGTACACTTTAAATGGGTAAATTGTACGGTTTGTAAATTATATCTCTAAAGCTGTTATTAAAAAAAAGACACAAGAATTATGTCCCTGTCACATAATAAATGTTAGTTTCCTTCACCGTTATTTTCTGACAGGTTTTAAATTAGGGTCTTAATCCTAATTACATTCTGCATATAGAAACCAGACATACAACAAACTTAGTATGAAAAACAGTCTTTAATGTGGATAACAGCAGGAGTTGAGCTGTAGGCTTAGGGCAGAGAAAATTGGGCCATTTTTCAGTTCCTGGAGTTGAGTCCTTGTAGTTTGGTTTTTACAGTATTGTCAAGTCCCATGTCACTGCATCTGTTCACTTGTGAACAAAGCTTATTTTAATGTCAGATTGGGAGCATCATTTTTCAGTTGGCTATTTGGTTCTCTGAACATGAGTCATTAACAAGCTTAAGTCCGTCAGGATTCAAGTGACTTGATTACACTTCTCTCCACTTTCTCTAGTCTTGCATTGAGGCCCATGAGAAGGACATGGAGCTCTCATTTGCTGTGCAGCGCAGCAAGGACATGGTGTGTGGGATCTGCATGGAGGTGGTCTATGAGAAAGCCAACCCCAGCGAGCGCCGCTTCGGGATCCTCTCCAACTGCAACCACACCTACTGTCTCAAGTGTATTCGCAAGTGGAGGAGTGCAAAGCAATTTGAGAGCAAGATCATAAAGTGAGACTCCTCCCCAATCTTCGTTTGTGCTTTCTATTTTGGGGAAGAATTTAGTAACTTGTGCCAACTTTGAACCAGCTGGACCACATTTAAATGCATGCATTTTATCTCGAACCTGGGGTATTCTAATTGGGATTTCTCGTTTGTATTTCAGCTAGCTTCTAGGTTAGTTGGTCTATCTACTTTTATTTGAATGAGGAAGCCCTATGTATCAGTTAGTAGAATCTTTGTGCTTTTTCTGAGGAGATTGTGTTTAATGGATTATTAGCCAGTTTAGGCTCAGTGAACAAACTTACCTAGCTCTGAATGTATGTTTCCTGACATTCTACATTTTCCACTTTCCTATTCCATCCATTAAGCTAGCCAATAATCCACCATCCTTTAAAGATTGTTCTCATAACTGAACAAAACTACATAATCTAAACAGAGCAAAGTTACAAAAAATAAATTTATTTAAACGAAAGAAAAAGGAGTCTGTGTGAAATGTCTTTTGTTTTTGTTCTTGTTCTTGACCTAAGTAATTTTTTTATAAAATGAACTGGCTAGCCACTGAGTTGGATTTATAAAGGAGTTTGTCTTGCCTCAAAAGAAATGAGCAATTGTGTGACAGTGTGTGGAACCCTTTCAGGAAATGCCCACGTGCCTTTCAGCTAAGTCTGGAGGTGACACACCGGGGTGTGTCCTTGAAGAGTGGGCCTGTAAAGGGGGAATGTGCATTGCAGCCTGTTCATTGTTTCCCAGGTCCTGCCCAGAATGCCGGATCACATCTAACTTTGTCATTCCAAGTGAGTACTGGGTGGAGGAGAAAGAAGAGAAGCAGAAACTCATTCAGAAATACAAGGAGGCAATGAGGTATGAGCACTGCAGCCTTTTCTCAGGCCAAGAGCCCAACGTAGCTTGGGCTCACTTTGAAAAGAACAGTGCTGCATTATACACTCCTACCTCCTTCCTACCCTTCTTTTACTTCCCAGTATAGTTCGTCACCCCTGGTAACACTTACCCAGTATGTCTCTTGCTATATAGCACAGTCCTTGGGATGCATGCCGAGGGACTGTGTTATAATGAAGTCTGTCCTGCTGATAGCTAAAGCCCTGTGGATGGGGTTCTACCTTATTCTGAATCCATGTTATAGTTGTCCTGTGTTAATTCCTGTGTGTTGGCTTTCTAGAAGGTTTTCTCTCTACGGGATCTGTTATACAAGAGCTGTTAAACAGCATGAACTTGAACAAAGTATCTGTTTCTATTGTTTCATGCATTGGCGCACACATGCTTATAAGAACACACTTGGGGGGGGCTGTAAACAGACATACTGGTTCTATCCCTACCTGTTTAAAGAAACCCCGGATGATAGTCAAATACAGACCTGAAATCCACTGTGAGTAAGGGTTGCGGTATTTTCCTTTCCAGCAACAAGGCGTGCAGGTATTTTGATGAAGGACGTGGGAGCTGCCCATTTGGCGGGAACTGTTTTTACAAGCATGCGTACCCTGATGGCCGTAGAGAGGAGCCACAGAGACAGAAAGTGGGAACATCAAGCAGATACCGGGTAACTCTCACTGTTTTTTTAAAGGAGGGGAAATACCACAATATCAGTTCAGTCGTGCACATATTGGGGTAGGGGAAGGAGAAGATTAACACTCAGGTTTGGGAGTGAGACTAGAATATTACAGGAGGAAACAAACCTCAGAAAACTGGGAGGGATAGGAAAGGAAGAAATAGAATGCTTAAAGCTCTAGCCTAAACTGTTTACATTGAGTACCCAGAGGGGAGGAATTGGTAAGATGGAAACCCTAAATAAGAAGTCTGGTTCGTCATGCCCTCTGGTGTGCTGGATGATTTGCCTTGTAAACAACAGAATAGAAGATACTGCTCGGCACTGCCACCCCTATCATGGCCTTGTTTCTTACAGGCCCAACGAAGGAACCACTTCTGGGAGCTCATTGAGGAAAGAGAGAACAGCAGTCCCTTTGACAACGACGAAGAGGAGGTTGTCACCTTTGAGCTGGGCGAGATGTTGCTTATGCTTTTGGCTGCAGGTGGGGACGACGAACTGACAGACTCTGAAGATGAGTGGGACTTGTTTCATGATGAGCTGGAAGATTTTTATGACTTGGATCTATAGCAACCTTGCGTGGCGCGGGAACTGGTCTGCCGAGCCTCAGACAGTAGCTGTCCCTGTGCTGGTGTGGCAGTGCCTGTGTTTCTCTCCTAGGCAGGCCTATCAACTCCAGGTGCTGTCGTGATAATTTTTACCCAGGGCCTGTCTTCTCAATCCCTCACCTTTCCCCAAGGAGTGTATTGTTTTCTCTGTTTAAAAAAGTTACAAAAATAAATCTTAAAGTTAGTTTTTTTGTAACACGAGTTTAACTGTCAGACAGTTAGTGTAGGTTCGTTGCGTCATCTGTTTTCAACCAGATTGTGTTTATGGACTTTTCACACTCATTTTGAGGACCGCCCCAGGTTCAAAAGTAAAAGCACTGGCCTTGCTTTGAGGTCTAAGAATAGGAGTGTTGGGTGAAGGGACCTGAGCTGGCAAGTAGCCTTCTGCTACAGACGAGGAGGTGGCTCCTTGGGGTTTCCGGTGAAATCTGCACATCTGTGTTTTTATACCTGTTCCCTACCCTGGAATCCCCACCATGTACACTTGTTCTGTGGTTTCGATCTCTTGTTCAATTGCACATAAGTAATACTACTGGGTAACCAGAACCAGGTGAGAATGTGTTGAGATTTCTACTGTGTTTTGCATGATAGGAAAATGGAGAAAGAATACATATTAAAGATATAGGGTCACAAAATCAATGCAGAGTTGGAAGTTGACTCCCAAGGGCTGGTAGACTTGATGTGAGTGTGGGGGAGAGGGAGAGAGAGAGAGAGTGAGTGTGTGTGTGTGTGTGTGTGTGTGTGTGTGTTTGAGAAATAAGCTTCTCATCCCTGCATAGATGCAGTATTCTTAGCCTTAGTAGAAAAAACTTGGTTCAGTGGTTTCAGCCTTGTGTGGCAGATAGATCTTAAAGGACAAAGCAGTGTATTGGTAGTTGTTAATATAGCAGTGCTAGCTCTGTCTATATACATAGAGAAATTGGGGTTAGCCATAAAAGGTTAAAACTATCTGGTTATCCCATATATTAACACAAACTGGCTCTTGGACACACAGTTGTCTTTAATGTTCTATGATCTAGCCTTTCCAATTCAGGCACTTTTTGAAAAATCTTTGTCCTCATTTGAGGAGTCTTATTGTTGGGTTTTTGTGTTTGTTTTGGTGGGCATTTGCCTCATTCCACCCCTGAGCTTTGCAGGTTGACAGATTTGATTCAAAACTATGTTCTAAGGTGTTTATTATAGTGGAATAATTGGTTTACAGTAATAAGTCACACTTTGCCACTACAGGGGAGGGAGCGGTAATCGATAAGACAAGCTAAAGTTCAGTTAGAAGAATTCCTTGATCAGAAATTTTACCTTTGCATTTTGTTGCTCTTTTTACTGAAAATAACTTGGAGATGCTCCTGGTTTGTCCATCCACTGCTTTGATTCCTTCAATCCCGCCCATTCTTTCACTTTAAGAAAAAAAGAAATAATTGTTGCAGAGGTCTCTGTATTTTGCAGCTGCCCTTTTGTAAGAAGCACTTTTCCCAAATAAAACAATTAAAAAAAAAAGTTGGCTTTCTGTTTTGTGTAATGAGCTATTGTAAAATGTGCACATGTCAAAAAATAATATGTTTCTTTCATTGACTCTTTGATCACTTCCCCAGTCAAATTTCTGTGGGTATAGTTTCCTTGAGAAAAGTGACACCTTTTAAACGACATCTAGCCTGCTGAGAAGTGTTAGAGAAAAGGGGAACTTTACCACCCGGGATCATGGAACTCTTCTCCCTAGGCAAGACTAACTCACCTAGGCAGAAGGCTCTGTGCTCTTGTGGTTAAACCCGCTTTGTGCCCTCCAATCACAGGCAGGCGCAGGCCACAGCATAAGTGTATTTTGAAAGACTGTTTTTCTTCATAATTATTTTGCAAAATTTTTTTATGTTTGAGAGTCATTCTGCCACTCACATGGAATATCTTCACATGACCGACCCTTTTGCTGTACTTACTTGTAAAAATAATTTTCTTGGTTTAAATATTAAGAATTTATGCCATCGAAAATGTTTCCGCATCTAGGAATCATGTATAAATGCTTATTTTAGTCATGGTGATGGCTGTAGATCCACTGAGTAGTCTATCTGTAAGCTTACATTCCAGCAGCTCCCTTCCAGGAGAGTGAAAAGTCCACCCTCAGTTGCTACTGCTGAAGGGCTCAGAGGAGAGATGGGACTGTTGGATAAGAAGGAGAGAGACTTAAAAACCCCTGGAAAGTGGGAAGCAGCTCCTCATCAGCTGTCCTGTTGGTATATCTGAGTCTATGATGGGGAGAGTGGTATAGGCAAGGTCCAAGTGATGCTAATAGATAATTTCAGGGTTTAGGTAGGTCTGTGTTTGGAGTAGCTCCTCTGTATCTTTGAAAAGACCGTGGGAGCTTACATATTAGTGCAAGTAATCAATAATTCATATTACTACCCTGTCACTGGCTGCTTTGAGAGCTAGTTCCCTTCTTTCCCCAAATGTGGTTGCCAGTTGCAAAAAAAGTTGGTACAAACATTGGTGGGTGAAACTTCTCACTTTCTCATTTGCGCAAAACTATGATTTCAATCTCTTTCCTGCCACCACTCATGATAAGTAATGTTTACATCAGGGACATACAGATTCTTTTTAAAGTTTGAAGAAAAGGTGAAATGAATACTGTCAAAGGTTGGGGGAGGGATGAGGCGTGATAGTGATAAAGGCGTTTGGTAGTCATTGTCGTTCACAATGTTGACCAGATTGCCACGTCTCTGCTTTCTGGATACATGGTTCAATTGCAAGGCCCATCTGACTTTCTTAGGCTGGTGAAATGTGAAGGGGTGTGTGTCATTTCCTGATGAAGGTTTAAGAACTAGCACATGAGTTACCTCATTTCCCCGCCTTTCCATGGCAATCGGTAAGTTTTGAGAAGGCAGCTGTTCCTACCAGCCTGGTTGACCATGAGAAAAACACTCTGCTGACCGGGGACATGGACAGGGTCACTGATTGTTCTGTGTTGAAATCATCTGTTTAGAGAACAATTGTCATTTTGTAAGGAAAACTAAAGACTATTTTAATATTTAAAGCATTCAGTTCTTTTAATCACCACATTCAAGGAGATTAAGTAAAAAGTAAATTGTAACATGATGAAGTAAATATTGATGAACAAACAAGCTTTATTTTACAGCTTAAAATTGACATAGGTATTGGTAATATGTAAAGCATTGTTAAAAACTACTTGCTTTTTTGTTTTCTCTTTGATTATAAATATTACCAGTGGAAATAGGGATATGTGTGTGTGTGTGTATATCTTTTTTTTTTTTTTTCCTCTTAATTTTAGAGATAGGGTCTTGCTCTGTCACCCAGGCTGGAGTGCAGTGGCACGATTATAGCTCACTGTAACCTTAAATTCCTGGGCTCAAGTTAGCCTCCTGTCTCACCTTCCTGGTGGGACCACAGGCACATACCACCACACCTATTTTTTTTAATTAAAAAAATATATATATTTTAGTGATGGGGTCATGCTATGTTGCCCAGGCTGGTCTCAAACTCCTAGGCTCAAGTAATCCTCCTGCCTCAGCCTCCCAAAGTGCTAGGATTATAGGCATGAGCCACCACACCCAGCCAGAAATAGGTATATTTTTTAGAAGAATGAGACTTTGTACTGTAAAGTTATAAAATGTGTCAGAAGCATTTATTTAATCCAATTGTAAATGAACAGTCAGAAGACCAGTTTTTAAGTATCTCAAATAGTAGAAGTAGTTTCTGAGGGTTTCATAGGTTTGAGCAAGCAAAGGGATTTAACTCTAAGTGGGGAAAGAATTTTAAAAAACTGAACAGCAAGTCATTTTGTGAGCTGTTTCATCTGAAGTGGTTAACACAAACTCAAGAGTGGCTGGGGTTTATTACTTTTCAGCGTCTAAGACTTATTTCACAAACCTTTAAATAGGTTTACGTTGTAGATAAAAGAATTGCTCTGTTGTAAATCCTTAACAAGACAACACTTATTTCTTTGTGTTGAATGACAGGAAGAGATCCATTGCTGGTAGTAGAATACACTTCAGATCTTCACCAGAAATAACCAGGGCTCTTGTTAATACACCACACAGTACCTGAACAAATAAAAGTATTTTTAGGTTCACATGATGTGCTTTTAAACAAAAACTCCATAAATACTTAGGACATTGACAGATTTTTTTTTTAATTAATTAATTAATTTTTTTTTTTTAGAGGCGCAGGGTCTCGCTGTGTAGCCCAGGCTGGAGCGCTGTGGCTATTCACAGGTACGATCCCACTGCTGATGAGCACGGGAGTTTTGACCTCCGTTTCCTGTCTGGGCCGGTTTACCCCTCCTTAGGCAACCTGGTGCTTCCCTGCTCCCAGGAGGTCACCATATTGTCGCTGAACTTAGTGTGGACACCCGATGGGCATGGCGCACTACAGCCCAGAACTCCTGGGCTCAAGCGATCCTCCTGTCTCAGCCTCCCGAGTAGCTGGGACTACAGTGACTTGCAGATTTGTATCTACTCCAGTCTTTGCTGACAGTGAGCATAATCTAAAATGTAACCTTAAAGGAAGCCTCATTTCTGATGATGTTTGCCTCCTAAAGAAGGGCTTATTTTGTTTCTACTTACATAGATGCAAATGCACTAACTTACTTTCTTCCCCCATCCTTGCCTTATGTGTTAGAACTGTTAAAAGATGACATTTTTAATAAAATGAAGGTACCCATTTATTTTACAGATATTTGAGTCCCAGCACATGTGAGCATTGTGCTAGTGCTGGAGATGCTGTGAGTGGGACAGGTGGCAGAAACAGCGCTCATCAAGCTGACCCACGTGGTCCCCTCCATTGTCTAAACCTCTTTGCAGTTAAGTTGGCACCCTGTGGCTAACTCCCATCACATGCCTCATGCCTCCTTTGTTCTCTTTGTGTGCCACGGAGGTGCTGGAAGCCACGTGTTGGCAATGGTACAAGATGGGAAGATCCTGGATCCCTGAATCATGGATGGGGAGAGCTCCCTTTCTCACCCCCAAAATTAGATTATTCGTCAATAAGAGGTAAATTGAGGTTTGAGAGGTTTTGTTTTGTTTTTCGCCATCATAGCCTAGTATGAAACATCCTAATACAATAGTTGTGGTCCTTTTCTTCATGGAGTTACAGATATTTATGATTATTTTTGATGAGTATAACCTGATCATTACTAAAAGGTGCAGAGTAAAATGAAAGCTTTCAAAGGTGGGGCCTGGGCTAGTTTCTGGCCATGGAAAGCTCGTTTGAGTTGCGATCTAAAGGGGAGAAAGGGTGTCCTTCATACAGATGCTCTCATGTGTCAGAGCCCTGGGGCAGGCAAAGGCAGAACACCTTTTTCTAGACACCGCTATTAATGACACTTGATTAGGTCATGTCTAATTTCCTGTATTAGCTATAACAACTTTTTTTCTTTAGAAAAGTATATCAGTGCAAGTCAGTAAGATTAACAATGTCAGTAACATTTATAGGAATGATTTTGGAATTGCCCTAATGTATCAAAGACATTCTTCCTAAATTTTAGTACTTTACTAAATTCAGCACACCCAACTTATCATGACTTGCTGCAGTTGCAACCACAGTCTTAAGAGCAGAGCTTCTCAAACTTTAATATGTAAATAAGTGATGTGGGGAGAGGGGGCAGTGGAGGGGTCTTGTTAAAATGTAGATTCTGGGCCTGGCGCGGTGGCTCATGCCTGTAATCCTAGCACTCTGGGAGGCCCAGGCTGGTGGATCGCTCAAGGTCAGGAGTTCGAGACGAGCCTGAGCAAGAGTGAGACCCCCTCTCTACTAAAAATAGAAAGAAATTATTTGGACAACTAAAAATCTATATAGGAAAAATTAGCCGGGCATGGTGGCGCATGCCTGTATCCCAGCCTCTCGGGAGGCTGAGGCAGGAGGATTCACTTGAGCCCAGGAGTTTGAGGTTGCTGTGAGCTAGGCTGACGCCGCGGCACTCTAGCCTGGGCAACAGAGTGAGACTCTGCCTAAAAAAATAAATAAATAAATAAATAAAAATTCAGACTTACAGAAAGGCTGTAAGAATGGTATATTGAACACTCAATCCTCTCCATCTAGAGTCACCATTCGTTGAAATTTTGGCACATTTGCTATTTCACATGTCTCTGTATCTCTCAACCCCCAGCCCCATCCATTTGAGAGTATTTGTAGATATGACAATTTATCCCTAAATACTTCAGTTATATATCCTATGTAACCACAACTATCAGAATTTAACATTGATAAATGAATATATAGCCTAAAGATCTAATGTACAACATGAGAACGATAGGTAATAAAATTGTCCTGTGTAATTCATGCCAAATGAGTAGATTTTTTTGTTTTGTTTTGTTTTTTTTGAGACAGAGTCTCACTCTTTTGCCTGGGCTAGAGTACCGTGGTGTCAGCCTATCTCACAGCAACCTCAAACTCCTGGGCCCAAGCAATCCTTCTGCCTCAGCCTCCCGAGTAGCTGGGACTACAGGCACACGCCATCATGTCCGGCTCATTTTCTTCTATATATATTTTTA